TACCACCAGATACCAGATTGGCACCAATAACAGAAAGATATTTGAAAGTACCCTGAGCTCCATCAAGTCCCTCACCTTTTTTTTTAAAGGAACACAGTTGACACAGTTTTATAGCTAGTAACTTCGAGATGCCCCAAGGCTCCTTCTGAATCACAGAGAAGGGATTTCTTAACTCAACTTTGACGTGGCAAGAGTCCAGCTGGTTTTACAGGCCCTCTGGGGTTTTATAGCAGAGATTCGGTACAGTCTGTCAAAATGTGGGTCACATTCATTTATATAAGCTTGATTCTGGGCAGTTAAAAGGCAATGAGGCCGATTATGTGCTGTTATGCGTGATTATTGGTCTTGCTAAAGGCCATTTCTCAAGACTCGCTAAAGGGCTTGCGCATTATTTTAACCTTCGCATGAAAAGTGATGCAGACATGGAAGGCTGATTTTATGAGGTTTGTCAGGTAGTGGGTAAGTAAGTGTGCACAGAAAACAATCAATGCTTGCATTTGTGATACATACAGTTGAGGTTAGAATTATGAGCCCCCATGAATTATTAGCCCCCCTGTTTATTTTTTTTACCAAATTTCTGTTCAGATTTCAGCACATTTCTAAACATAATAGTTTTAATAACTCATTTCAAATAACTGATTTGTTTTATCTTTGCCATGATGACAGCACACAATATTTGACTAGATATTCTTCAAGATACTTCTATGCAGCTTAAAGTGACATTTAAATGCTTAACTAGGTTAATTAGGGTAAGGCTAGGTAACTAGGCAAGTTATTGTATAACAGTGGTTTGTTCTGTAGGCTATACAAAAAATATTGCTGAAGGGGGCTAATAATACGCTTATTTCACGCGGCTGCCATTTTAAAGAACCAAAGCGAGGCTGCGGTGGGAAGAAACCCGGAAGTATAGGTCCAGCACTGTAAACATGCAGTAGTAATATGCTGTGTACTACAAACCTCCAGCTGTTGCCGCGATTTCAAAATGCAGAAATGGTGTAAACATTACTTTAATATCATTCAGTAAGTTTATTTTAAACGATAAAAAAGCAATTTAGCATCAAACAAGATCACAATTTTAGTGATACGCTTAAGTGTCTTCCTAGCCTTCAGCTCATGGCACTAGTTTAAACACTGTGGGGACGCTTTCCTACTTGAGCCTATGTAACCCGGTGAGTGATAAAACACTGCAGTCCTCTGCAGCACACCCTCGTGTTGTCTATAATAGTGTTGTCCTGGTACTGAAGTTTTAAACCCTGCTGTTTCCCGCTAACATGGAAGCGCTGCTGAGCCAGATGACTCGACTGATCTTCATGGCTTCGCGCTTCAGTCTCCGTGTATCTGTGTTTAGTTTGCACTCAGTTAACCGCTCTTCACCCAGTGCAAACACAGATACACGGACTGGAGCACGAAGCAGCCGTCAAGATCAGTCAAGTCATCAAGCAGATCGCTCGGCTCGTCTGTGTTTGTGCTCGGTATACAGCGGTGGGTGAACTGATGACCTTTTCGGCCAATCACAATCATTTCTGTTGAACACGTGAACACAATGGCAAATCAGCGCTGTTTAAGAAAGCCATTAACATTGCCTTAAATGTTAGCACGAAATTGCCGGTTTTTCTTTTAATTCAGTATCGTGACAAGTCTAATATAGTGAAAGTATGAATTTATTAACTCGCATTTGATAAATGGCATCTAAAACGTGTTTGGGAAAGAAAACGTTAGCTAACTAGTGCCATTTACCTTAACTTAGCTGAAAATGAGCTCTGATATCCCTTTTTACATTCACCATTCATTTAGATTGGACCTTTGGGTCACCCGGAAGGTGGAGAAATGATAAATTTGTGTCACTTTATCTTCGCTGATAAGATATATAGCAAGTTACAGAACATTCCTATGTAACTCCCAATGATACTTCCGAGTTTTTTCCCACCGCAGCCTCGATTTCGCTTTTGAAAATGGCGGCCGCGTGAAATCAGTCTATATTGACCTTAAAATGGGTTTGAAACAACTAAAAACTGCTTTTAATCTAGCCAAAATAAAACAAATAAGACTTTCTCCAGAAGTACGAATATTATCAAACATACTGTGAAAATTTCCTTGCTCTATTTTTTTTTTATACAAAATTTGGGAAATATTTATAAAAGAAAAACGGTGGCTAATAACTCTGACTTCAACTGTATGTAATTTCACACTTCGATCAAATCTTGTTCAGAATTGTACAGAAAATACTCGACGACATTTATGAAATTCTTTACATATACATACAAACAACCTCTTTGTATTTTAAAAATCCCGGAAAGTTGTTTAGTGAGATCTCTTATTTTTATTTACTGGTTGTTCTGGTGTTTTATCTGTCAATTTACCAACCAGACAACCAGGCTAATATTGTCATCTGAACACAAATCTGTAAAAATGTGCAGACTTCAGTTTTGTAAGCATAGACGGAGAAACCCCATACAACACATTAACAGCATAGCACATCATAACACAGTGCAAACTGAAATAACCAACATATTTCAAGGATAAGAATGAGTTTTTGCACAGTTCTTGCACATGTGATGATTATTTTCATGTTATGGCAAACAACCCATTTTTTAAAGAAGTGTTTTGTCTAAAAATATTACAATTTAGGGAACACACTGAATCACATCTGATATTTATCTAAAAGTGAAAATTACATTTGGATAAATATTATTTATTAGACAACATGAATATTCCCAATTTAATCGTTAAAAATAAGCCAATTTATTAAATAACATCTCACTAAAAACTTCAATAATAATCTTGTAGCTATACCAAGGCTTTATAAACTGTATGATACCACAAAAACGCTTTTTGAATAGTGTTTTAGCACTAATATTGAATACAAGTTATCTGTCTACAAGTATATTTAAATTGTTTTGTGAAAATAAATGTAAAATATGAGTAAATTAAAGCTCCATCATCATGCAGCATGGCACATATATATATATATATATATATATATATATATATATATATATATATATATATATATATATATATAAACTACTATAAAATAGTAAGTGATTATATGATTAAACATTATTGATGGCAAATGGCTATAACTTTTAAATATAAATATTAGAACGATGTAAAATAGCATTTTTGAGCTACACTATACTCATTGAACAGCTTTAAATAGAGCATGTTTAATTATTTGAATAGTTCATCAAATGTCTCTTCTTTCAAATGCACTTGACAGGATCGTTTGGTGTGTATACCACTGTTACCCTGAAGACATTTCAGTCAGAATCTTCTGCAAATCAAGGCAAAAATATACAGTACTGTGCAAAACTTTTAGATTAACATTACATGATTTATTTTACTGATGGTATAATGGATATATGCGACCCACAAAACCAGTCATAAGTGTAAAATTTTTGTCTTTTTTTATTGAGATTTATACAGCATGAATAAATGATCTTTCAGTTGATGTTGTTAGTTTGTTAGTTAATTATTTTAATTTAATTGTTTAAGACGTGAAAGACAACGTTGGAGAGAGGCTGTTTGAGCTGCATTTCCAGTAACGTTGTTAGAAATATTGTCTGAATGGATGGAATTGTGAATGTTGAAAAGTGCAGATAGGTTTTAATCCAATATGCCATTCCTTCTGGAAAGTACTTCAGTGGTAATACTTTCGTTTTCATCATGATAATGATCCACTAACCGCGGTAAAATCTTATTTTGAGAATGAAAAGAGCTGATGAAATACAGACAGTCATAAAATGGCCTCCACAGGGTCCAGACTTGACCATTATAGAGACTGTATAAGATCACCTGAACAGAAAAAGAAAGATCTGACACTCTAAACCTAAAGAAGAACTCTGGAAAGAGTGTACAATTAATATATCCAAGTTTAATTCTATTTATTAAAACCTTAATTTTATTTATTGAAGCTTCTCTTCCATATACTCAAATTTTCTACTTGGAGAAAGAAAACAGCTGATGAAACACAGACAGTCATGAAATGGCCTCCACAGGGTCCAGACCTGAATATTATAAAGACTGTATAAGATCACCTGAACATAAATGAAAGATCTGACACTCTAAACCTAATGAAGAACTCTGGAAACAGTATACAATTAATATATTCAAGTTTAATTCTATATAGTAAGACAGTCATGAAATGGCCTCCACAGGGTCCAGACTTGACCATTATAGAGACTGTATAAGATCACCTGATCGGAAAAAGAAAGATCTGACACTCTAAACCTAATGAAGAACTCTGGAAAGAGTATATCATTGCATATATTCAAGTTTAATACTCTATATTTAGACCTTAATTTCATTTATTTAAGTTTCACTCAAATCCATACACTCAAATTTTCTATTTGGAGAAAGAAAACAGCTGATGAAACACAGACAGTCATGAAATGGCCTCCACAGGGTCCAGACCTGAATATTAAAAAGACTGTATAAGATCACCTGAACATAAATGAAAGATCTGACACTCTAAACCTAATGAAGAACTCTGGAAACAGTATACAATTAATATATTCAAGTTTAATTCTATATATTAAGACAGTCATGAAATGGCCTCCACAGGGTCCAGACCTGAATATTATAAAGACTGTATAAGATCACCTGAACATAAATGAAAGATATGACACTCTAAACCTAAAGAAGAACTCTGGAAAGTGCTGAAGGACTCCTCATATCACACAGCACATTATTTCAGAAAATATCAGGACAATTAAAACTAAACAGTTCAAGCTTGATGCCAAAAGTAGCCATATTAAACACAGACTTTTAATTTTGTACCAATTAAACTGGTATAGTGCTTAGGAATTTTACACAGTGCTGTATGTATTACACTTCTTTTTCATCCCTCACTCCTAAATAACTATTCTGAGACTGTAGCGCGGGTACAGTACATTTTCTAACTCTTAACCTCTCACAAGCACCTACTTTCTTATCTCGTGGATTCGCTCAGGTCCCGAAACGAATCTCAAAATGCAACCGTGACCTTGATTTCAACTTACCTGGCATGATCACATCAGGGAAGCCCAGTTTTCGTGTGATGGCGACGCCACGGTTGAATATCATGGGGTTTTCCCTGCGCACTTGCTCCATGTCGCCTCTCAACAGCTGCAGTGAGATGATCAGACCTGAAAAGCACGGCCAAATGTGAGACGACTTCATTACCACGACCGCTGTAATCATCCTCAACATTATGTTGCTGTTTATTTGCTGAAATGAAGTCTTTGTTTTGGAGAACGCAGCGCAGAGATCGACGCCTCTAATGTTAGGATTTTGCACAGGTCTCGGTGCCACAATTCAATTCAATCAAGGCATTGTTTTGGGTCTGACAATGGCGCTAATGACCTGGCTCTTCGCTACCTTCAATCCTTCATTAAACCGCCGACCCGCCTGCTGCAATCACTCATTCTGATTGCCTGGCTCCCCTCTGTTCCCAATTGGAAGGTTTTTTGTTCATCCAGGTCCAGAATTTGTATTTCTAGGCCTTCCCCTCGATGGTGGTACACGCTCTCAATTAGTGCAGCTAACACACCAATTACGTCTGAACGATACCTCAAGACCCGTCTCTATGATCTTATTTTCCCCAAGGGTTGGCTTTTCTCATTCATGCGGCTTTTTTCAGGCTCTTCAATATCATTCTGAACTATTTTATGATCTTCGTTTGGTTTTTAAGGTTCGCAAGATGACCTGGATCTCTGCCAGATCAGGTTTCACTCACAGTTGATTACTGGCCAGGGTCAGTTTGTCCTTCACAAATTGATTTTTTTAAAGACTCTTTTAAATCCTGTCTTCTTAAAGATACATTCTAAATATGGGGGATATATGCTCATTTGACAAGTCCTCTCGAGTTTATTAGTTGAGTTTTTGACCGTTTTCTAAGTGCACTTACCGTAGTTGGTGCTGGGAGCGGTGTATTTGGTGCTGGACTTGCGGATAATGTTCTCATGAATCTGGTACCACTCGTTTTCATTATTACACCTGTAAAAGACAGAAGATAAAGGATGAGGCATTGTAGTAAGAATAAAAAAGTGCTGTCAAACGGATGAAGCAGGTGGAATCAGCATTTCAGATGAGTTGCAGCATTTCGAAGACTTGCGTGGAAATCTTACTAAAACATTGCGTACGCACAAAGCTGTAAATGTGCGTACGCAGAAAAAAATTCAGATGTATGAAAGACTGCGTACGCCGAATCCCACGCATATTCTTTTGTACATCCGAATGAACGTGAAACTGAGCACCACATGCACGAGCACAAAACCCCTCCCTGCCTCCTCCCCCTTATGAATATGCTAATGACTCTACTTTGGCAAAACCCAACGAAAAAGCAATGGCAAAAGCAAGCAAAAAGAGAAACTTTGAACAGAATGTGAATTGGAGGTGCTGCTTTCGGAGATAGACCGGAGAAAAGTGGTCTTATTTGCAAGTTTGTTCTCCGGAATAAACAACAAAAGAAAAAAATAGAGTGGGAGAGTTTAGCTGATGCGGTTAACACAGTTGTGTCTGAACATCGCACTGAGTGAATTAAAAAAGAAATAGTGTGATTTATAGGTGTAAAATGTTGCAGTACTCTTAACAGTCTCAGTGGCGCAGCTCGTAAGATGCATGTCAACATATTTTGACACGTTCGAGCATGAACTCGGTTCGAATCCAGCGTCTGATGAACTCTTTCTTTTTTTTTTTACCCCGCTATATATCAGATTTTGCCTGCTATTTATTACAAGAAAGACAAGTAGGAATCATTAATAAGGCTGTGCATCATATTTTATTTGCACATTTATTGAATGGAATTGTATCTGAAGATGAATCTGCATGCGTGAATCAGAAAGTGTCTTTATAGCAATGTGTGTGCAGTAGATCGCTCAGATTACATTGGGAAAACAGGCGACCGCTGCAAATTGCGTTTTAATGTTTAGCTGGTCAACTGTATGGTATGGAAACCTTATATACCTGCTAGATGAACCCGTCTCATACAGCTGCCATTGCAAGGCTCAGACACTTTGTAGAGAGGAATTTAACACAACAACCTCTAGGAGTCGCCAATGGAAATAAAACAGACACGCACAAAAAATGTGCGTACGCCTGCCATAAAGCTGCCGTGGAACTGCGCACATTCCCACATTCAGTTCATCGTTAGTAAATCCAAACGTGAGTGATTCTGAGCGTGAAACCTAGCGTATGCAAAGTTTTTGTGCGTACGCAGCGTTGATACATGAGGCCCCAGGTCTGAAAGTAAAACTGGGCTTCATCCAGTCACAGAGAATTATTCATTTGCCACAACACCCAATGGAACTCTAGTGTGGAACCGCTGCATTAGGGCTGCACGATTCTGGCAAAAATGTGAATCACAATTTTTTTTTGTGAAATGGGGGAAATGGGGGACTCGAGTCACATGACTTGACTCTATTCAGACTTAAGTCGCAAAATTTAGGACTTGAGACTTGCTTGACAAATATCCAAAAGAGACTCGACTTGACTTGGACTTGAGTGAAATGACTTTGAAATAACTTGTTTTTGTTAAATGCACAATCGTTTGTTATATATTAAGCATTTAAAAACAAAACAAAACCGAAAGTTAAGCATGTGCAGTATTAACAGCTCATCGGTTCTCAGATCGTTCCAAAAGAATCAGTTGAATTTGCAGGACTGGATTATCCGGTTAATAAAGAAGAACTGCTTTAAATGATTCATTAGATTCATATAAACGATTCATTTGAAGGATTCATTTGCTATTCGGCCATCAGATAATACTGTATTGAAAAATGGAAAGCGCTCCGCCAAAGATAGCATATTTTATGGGTTTAAAGATTACAAACAAGACGGCTAATCAAAGTTTATATTATTTAGTCTGACTCAGTGCTAGTGTTTATTTAGTGACACGTTTTTTTTTACAGTTATTATCATTCTTCTACACTGTTTTGTATCCGCCTAATTTAACCAAACATCTGCATTTGTTGTATATTTTATTAATTTGAGGATGTCATTATGCTAATACATAGGCTATTTTATATAGATATCTAAAATGCTTTTCATTCAAGTTCGCTTTGAACTTGAAAGAAAGAAAGACACATATTTGACCTGTCAGCGTTGCTCATGGCTAATAAATATGTAAGAAAAAGTGGATGTCTTTTTTAACAGTTTTTTTTTTTACTTTAACCAATTGACAGTAAACTGTGTATAACATTGTCAAAATAAATTCAATTATTGTAAAAGATTGAATATGTTGTGTTTGTTGCATATAGGTAACTATTTATGTGATGTGGGTAAAAAATGGTGTGTTTCAATCAGGCTACCACCGCAAGTATATTTCAAACCTGTGAGAAGCCGTTTAACGTTTATGTTTTTTACATGTTAGAGGTTTAAGTTTAATAAAAAAAAAAATTGCATTAAAACAATCTGTTAAATGCTATATTCCAGTTTTTTTTGTACTCCCATGCATCTTTTTAAAAAAAAATTATCGGTGAAAAAAATGAAGAACTAAGTTAGGCAAATTTCAGACCATGGATCTCAAAACCTGTCTGTAGCGTAAATGTGAAATGGGCTTTATATATTATCTGGAATCTAAAGGTTCAAAATTGCCTTAAGAGTTCATTCTTAGGAATTCATATTACAAATCAAAACATTTATATTGGAGTTATTGAAATGTACAAAATGTCATTTTGTCAAAAGAAAAAAGAATCATTTTGATTCAATAATTGTTTTCCCCCAAAAATGTACCTGTGCACTTTAGGATTGGTTTAGTCATTTAGGGTCTCATTTATTAATAGTATAATATTTTAATGGCTTTGAAGTAAGCACATTTATTCCCCTGAGCAAGCCATCTGATTCTGATATATATATATATATATATATATATCAATAAATATATACAAAATAAATAATCTACAATTTCATAATATGCTCTATCGTTTATTTTGTGGTGTTACAAAACACATTTTCATAATTTATATGAGTCCAATATTACACATCATTAAGGGGATTCAGATAGAAACATGAATAATATAAACTAGTTGAAATGTTCAAAGAGCTATGTTTACATTTTTTGTGATGATTTGAGTTTTTATGTTGAACCTGTTATCATTTGTCTTTGAAAAGTTCTTTACATTTTATTCATATTGCTACATTTTGAATCAAAAATTTGCTCGGAAGTTCCAAATAAAGTGGGAAATATGTTCACATATAAATGTGTACATTTCTGAGTATATACACTTTCAAATGCAAATGAAGAAATAGTAATTTAACTGCAGTCTATACTGTAAATACAGTTGAAGTCAGTTGAAGTTTCAACAATGTAATTTAGGTAGCAATTAAGTCTAACAGTGCTAAAATTTGTTGTCACTTCCACAAGTGTGTTAATTTCAAAAGTTAAAAAGAGTAAGTGCACAAGCTGTGATTGTTTAAAAGATTGTAACTGTTCGTTAGTGTTATTTAAAAACAAACCAATTCTTATCAAAAAGTGTCAAGTTTATGATTCTTATCATTTCATGTCAAGTTCAGCTTTACAATCTTAAAATGTCTGCAAAATCAGCTGTTTTGTCAACACTTCATACTTGAGAATCATTCAAACACTAGCTCTAGAGTGACGTTGGTAAATTAGTGTCATGTTCACCAGCGAACAACCACCAGATGTCGCTGGTAAACACACACACATTTAGGACTACAAATCTGCTGATAAACTACATATTCAGTCATGCCACACACACACACCTGCTCCAAGTCTCCACTAATTAGAATCCCACAGCTGATCCTGCTTCAAGACTGATTACACACAATATTTAAGCAGCACACACACTCATTCAGGTTGCCGAGTCTTGTTAACTGTAAAAGTAACACTACAACGCGGTTTCCTTCTCTTGGTTCTCTGTGTTTTGACCTTAGCCTAGTTTATCCTTTTGTCCTTGTTTGCCGCCTGCCTTCTGACCCCTCGCCTGTGTTTGATTACGATTCTGGATTGTCTACATTAGTGATGGTGAAATGAAGCTTTCTGAACCAGTGAAGCGCTCGACTCAATTGTATCGGAAAAAGGTTCGTTACTCGAAGCTTTCTAAATCAGAGCTCGATGAGGACCTCTTCTGGTGAAAGTGTGGGAAAGCACTGTGTTGCCATAATGTCAAATGTTCACAACTGAACAACTCATTCATGTAGTAATACAACAGCAATATAAACAAATTACTCAATTACTGTAGTTTTTACACAAGATATAGTACATTACACAACTGATGATTGTAGTAAGATCCAAGATATTCAAAAGTTTATCATAACACAATTAGTCCCGCTCCAAGCGGGGATCGAACCAGCGATTCCTGGTTGTAAGGCAAGTTCTCAAGGAGGACGCTATGTGAACGATGTTTTAGGGTCGCATTCACCAGATTGTGTCTGTTAAACACAATACTATGATATGCGGTGGTTTTCTTCAAAGATAGTCATAAAAAAAATACGCTAATACACTTTAGTATTGTTCAAAACCTTTTTGCTAAAAAATACTATTGTAGTTTAGTTTAATTACTGGTGTGTGGGACTGGTGCAGTGCTTTGAAACAAATGTATGTAATAGACGCCAATTCTCTCGCTATACACTTTACTATGAGGGTGTTTAAACCTTTGAATCAAAATTCGAAGCAGTCATGTGGGTAAAGGCGAAAATGAAGCTTCGGACGTCACTGATCACGTGATGATGGCAAAACGAATCAAGCTCCGGTACACTGCTTCACTGCGAGATGTATCGTTTTTTTGATACATGCTCCGAAGCCTCGGCGCACAACGTCACATCACTAGTCTACATATATCTGTTTGCACCAAGTGTGCCGCAAGCCTACGTTTGAGTGAAGGTTTCGGCCGTTAGATCGCCCCCTGGGGGCTGGCTTCAGTACAAGTCATAAAGCCCGCCTCCTCCGTGTTAATGAAGGAGACTTGAGCCCAAATAAAAAAAAATATTACACTTGCAATAAAATGTCCCGAAAGATAGTTCTGGTCGATTAAGGC